GGACACCTGGGTTTCCTACCCCACGCCCAGTCTTTACTCCAGGCTCTCAGACTAAGCCCGCTGGCCCTCTGGGGCTACAGTATTCCTCCCTGAGCCTCAGGAGCCACTGGGGGAGGGAGGGACAGGCTGCAGTTCAACTGGGAGAGGGCAGCAGGATTAAAAGCAGGTGTCCTGCTCCCCACACCCCAGTCCTGGCTCTAGGGCCTCACCTTACTTCTGTCTCCCTCTCCTCAAAGAATGCACACTTTCCACTCAGCTGGGGCCCAGGAAAGGGTGAGAAAGTGTCTCGAGGATGATGACTCCCTGGCAAGGCTTCCCGTGGGAAGAGGGTGACCGTCCCTCAGTCCAACATCTGTGTGGCATGAGCACTAACAGGCTTACTCACTCGTCAGGGCTGAGAGCACGGGTGCTGGAGCACACAGACCTGAGTTCAAATTCCAGTTTCACAACTTCGAGCTTTATGGCATTGGGTAAAAGGCTCACCCTCTCTGAGCCCCCATTTCGCCTTTTGTCAATGGAGTTGATAACCTCCTAGGATTATTGTGGAGACCGAATCAGACAAAAATGTCAGGCACCCAGGAACTGCTCCATAAGTAGAGACCATGCCATCACCTTCCCATACTGCCTACAAGAAAGCTGGGGTTTCTGTTCTACCAGTTAACTCACTGTGACCCTAGAGACATCACATTCCTTCACTGGACTCTGAGTCTTCCTTTGTATGAGGAGAGGATCGTACAGCTGAACCCAGAGGCTCCTTCCTGGGCTGAACTTCCAGAGCCACAAGGAATCATATCATTTTCAAACACTCATGGCAAAAGACGGGGCTGCCCTCAAGGTCACCAGGGACCTGCAAGGTGAGTGAGTCTTGAGAGATTTTCTGGGACTGAACTGGGGGAGAAGTGAGAAGTCTAGGGAGCCTCTCCCTCAGAGACCTCACTCCCTGATGTCCGATGTCCACCATCCCCCTCACAGCTGCTGTTTCTGCCATCCTCCAGGGCTATGGGGGTGAGCATCAGGTTACAGATGCCAGCGCTGAGCTGCACGGACTCTGTGGCTGCCTGGAGCGGCTGCTGCAGGTGGGGCCCTGTCCTCTCCTCCCCTCTCCTCTCCCCTCCTCTGCTCCCCTTCCCTCTCTTCTGGTCCCCTCCCTCTCCCCTCTCTAGGCCCAGATAACCAGGAGGGATTTCTCAGATACTGAGGGAAGAACCACCCTTCCTTTGCTACCTTGGGCCACTTCATCCCCCTCAGTCAGCAAGTCCTTCCTGACATCTAACCTCACTCATGGAGGCTGTCACTATAGCCTGAGAGGTGAGGTGAGGCAGGGCTGGGACAGGGTGGGGAGGGGTTTGGGGAGCCACCCTGCTCTGAAGACTAAAGACACAGATGTCCTAGGGCTAGCCCTCCTTGCAGTGGGTTAGAGCCCAAGTCATCACTATCACTGGCTTTTACTGAGCACATACTATGTGCCAGGCTAAGGCTTTACATGCCCACCTTACTCAGTTCTCATTCTCACCCCCTGAGGTGATTCATGACCCACTCATCCCCCACATATACACACACCCCCTTCCAACTTCTCTATGTATGTAGATGTGTGTGTAGTGTGAGTGTGCACATGTGTGTATGTGTGTGGTGTTGGGGGGGTATGGATGTGTGTGTGTGAGGTTTGTGTATATGTGCTGTGGGTATGTGGTGTGCATGTGTGAGTCTCCTGCCAGTCTGCCCTCCATCTGCTGCCCTCCAGTCACACTGGCCTCCTTGATCTTCTAAAGTACCCCAGGAATGCACCCACCCCAGGGCCTTTGCACTTACTATTCCTCTGCCTGGAATGCTTTCCCTCAGAAATTTAGATGGTACACTTTCTTATTTCCTTTAGATTTTGACTTGAATAGTATCTCCTCAGTAAGGCTTTCTCTAGCCACCCTAACGTAAATTTTTAACACACAAATATATCACACACACCACACATATGCACATGCATGTGCACACCACACAATTTCTATTCCTTTTCCCTACTTTATTTTTTTTCTCCTTAGTGGTCAGCACTATCTAACATAGTATATATTTTTACTTTTTCAATTTTTTCATTGTCTATCTCCCCTTCCAAGATGTAAGCCCATGAGGTCAATTTGTTCATTGCTGTATCTCCTGGGCTTAGTACAGGTCTGGCACATAGTAAGTGTTCAATAAGTATTTCTGGAAGGAATGAATGAATGAATGAATGGGAACACTGAAGGCTCAGAGAGGTCAAGCAGCTTGCTCCTGGTCACAAAGCCAGGACCTGAAGCCAAGTTTATCTGCACCAGCCCTTTCCCTCTGCCATGTGCTGCTCAGCATGCTGGAACACAGGATGGGTTCTAGGAGGAAGCATCTCTGATTCCTTTCCCTCGTCTTGCTCCCAGTTTGACCAGAAACAGCAGAAGAGCTTCCTGCGGCCTCGGAAGGATTACTGGGATTTTCTGTGCACTGCCCTGTGGCGGCAGCGAGGGGAAACGGAGCCAGCTCTTTTTGTTCACTCACAGGACAAGGTATGGAGGGCCAAGTGGCAGACAGGCTGACCCCAGCATGATGCGGCCCTGCCACCAAGCTCTTGAAAGGATCACTTTGGGGCCAAGGGACATAGGCCTGCCCAAGGCCCTTTTCTCACCCATCCCAGCTCCACTGACCAAAGGCCCCCCTCACCTGTCCCTCATCTCTCATTAGCCCCCTCCAGCCATCCCTTTTCTTCCCACAGCCTCAAGTCCCAGGACACCCTTTCTCATCAACCATCAACCCCCTCTCAGTGCTGACTGGGTCCCCATTGTCCTAACACCACCCCCCACTGTGCCCCCTGTGTGCTCTACAGTTGAAGACCCCTCTGGGAAGAGGCCGTGCCTTCATCCGCTTCTGCCTAGCCCACGGGCAGCTGGCCGAGAGCCTGCAGCTCTGCCTCCTGGACCCAGAGCTCACCAGGTAGGGTTGCTGGGACATGCTCTTACCCATACCATCTGAGCCTGCTGGCCTACCCATACCCCTTGACGCCCAGAAGGATGGTTTAATATCAAGGACAGCTAAAAGGAGAGAGAAGGGGGAAGTCAAGGAAGAAACAGCAGAGAGGAGGCTAGAACCCCAGTCCTGGAAGCTCCCTCACCATGGTTCTTAGGCCCCTTGCTCCCCAAGGGCCACAACCCTGCCTGGGGAATTGTCCCATTAGGGTGTGCAGCGGAGGCAAACTCTCTGAGGTTGGGGGTGGCAACAGTGCCAGGGCCAAAGGCCATGGATGCTGACCACTGTGAACACAGGGAATGGTATGGCCCCTGGAGCCCTCTAGTGTGCCCTGAACTCCAGAAGGACATCCTGGACTCTCTCTATGCTCTCAATGGAGTGGCCTTCGACTTGGATCTGCAGCGGCCGGACCTGGATGGGGCCTGGCCCATGTTCTCAGAGTGAGTGGGTACTCGTGGAGGGGAGCCTCGTTTCATGGCTGCTGCCAGTGCCATCACCCATCCCAAGTTAGCCCCAAGCCCTCAGCCACTAGCACCATCTGTTTCTCCTTCCTTTCTTGCTCCCTGAGGCCCTGAATCTCCACCTCCCTAGCCTTCTATTTTCCCAGCATAATCCCATGATGCCCCATCATTTTGCATAGAATATACACTCTAAAGAGTTGTTGGGTGGCTGGGGTAGTGTTAGAAGGATAAATGGAGGGTGGGATGCAGGGATGGATGGAGAGTGGGGTGCACGTGTGAGGTTGGGAGGGCAGGAAGGTGGGAAGGGTGGTGGGACGAATGGGTGGTTGGAAAGATGGCATATCCCGCATCCAAGAACCAAGACCACTTCTGGAGAGAGGCCCAGGGTCCTCCTGCTCCTTTCACTTTCAGGTCCCGTTGCTCCAATTCCAGCCAGACCCGGGGACGAAGGCCAAGGAAAACCAAAGATTCCCCAAAGAAGGTGCTTCTGCCTGACCTTCACTCTGAGTTACCTCTTCTCCATCTCTGCAGGGCCTCCCAGGTTGAGCAGTAACTGAGCCCTGCACCAACTGGGCAGACAGAGAGAGGCCAATGTGTGGACCTTGGGACTGGAGACCCACAGAAGCGAAGGCTCATATTCTTAAGATGGTGGGGATATCAGGGAGAGGAAGGGACCGCTGACACCCTCTGCAGAAGCTAGTGGAGCCCAGGGGAGGAGCAGGTGCTGGAGAAGGTGACCAGAAGCTTACGGGAAACAGACCAAGGAAACAACCTCTTCTGGACAATTTGCAGATGTCTCAGTTCAGTTCAGGGAGTGACTGAAGAGCCAGATCACCTGGCTCAAACCCCAGCTCCACCCCTTACTAACCACAGTCCTTGGGCAAGTTATTTGTCATGCCCCGCAGGGCGATGGTGAGGATGCATTGGGACAGACCATGTGTGGCACAGAGCAAGGCTCCTGCCACATGTTCAGTAAGTGGTAGTTTGCAGTTATCATTATTTCACAAGCTCACTTTACACCCCCACCAGCTTCCAGGCACCAGGTACAGACACTATGAGGACTCAGTCTCCGACCTGAAGGAGTTCCAGGTCTGATCAGGGAGACAGACCCTAAAAGAACACACTGCAACGTGAAGCATAGGAATGCAGATGTACACAGGGGAACGTGGGGCCCAGGCAAGGCTTCATGGCAGAGGTGACTCTTAGCAGGTTGTTGGTCAATCTAAACTTTCACCACAACCCTACGAGACAGGTATTATTATTCCCATTTTGTAGACGAGAAAATACCAAGAAGTTAAGTTCAGAGGGAAGGATCAGAGGAGAGAGGTGAGAACTTAGGGGAAAACAGATCCATGCAGAAGATAGAAATGAAGGAGGGAGAAGGGCGCAGGCTAGAGGTGAAGGAGTAAAGGACATTGAGAAACGCTGCTGCTCCCTGACCAGATCAAAGGTGGGGCCTAGGATCAGATCACCTGGTGTTAGCATTCAGGTTCCTGCCCACCCCCTCCCCAGATCTGCTGAATCCGCATTTCTAGTGGGAGCGCCTGGGAATCCATCTGTTTAGCAAGCCTGTTGGATTAGGGCTCTCTGGTCTTTCCCACGCACCAGCTTGGTGACCTGGTGCTGAGAGGGATGATGATGGGTTTGGGGGCTTCTCTGCAGATCTCAGCTGTAAATGGAGGCCCCAAAGGAGCCCAGCCAGAGGAGCTGCACACCAGCCAAGCCAGCTGTCTGCAAGATGCACCACGGGAAGACCGGTTGGCTGGACTCCCCACGTCCCAGCAACACAGGCTTCTTTCTCCCTTTCTGGAAAAGAAGAAAGAAGATCCCCAGAAGAAAGATGACCTCAGGGCCCCCCACAGCATGTGGGAACCAGATGGGGAGGAGCTGCAGCAAGACCAGGAGAAGGGAGCCCCAAGGACAAGGATCTGCCTGGGAACCTCAACACCCAGCATCCAGGGGCAGAGGGAGGAGGCCAATTGGGCTCTGAAGGAGGTGGCAGGGACAGAGGGTGAGGGCAGAGGGGTTCTGCTCAGTGCAGAAGGTCAGAGAACAACAGAGGGTACTCAAGAAGGAGAAGCAGAGTGGGGTCACGTCCAGAGGCTGCTGGTCTCTGGCTCCAGAGGGACAGACTCAATGTCAAGGAACAGGCAGAACAAGGTGCCTGGCATTCTGGGGGAGCCGAGTGTCCTTCAGGGCCTGGGAACAAAGGAAGGCTCCACCACAGTGAAGCCACAAGAGCAAACAGGAGTGACCAGTGTGACCAGGAGGGAAGAGCAAGCAGAGGTGGCCTTGCAGGAGGTGGTCAAGGTGAGAGCAGCTGAGCTCTGTACCTGTCTATTCTCCATCTAAACTGGTCCACAGTCGGAGATCTTCAGTGGTAGCCTGGGGACCATTCCAGCACACAGATCCATATTTATTGGCTTTCACAGGATTGTTATTATTTGAGGATGTCTTTTGAAAGCCATGCGTTCTTCAATTCACCACAGTCCCCACCTCCACCTATTGCCTCACACTGGGTTCAGTATTCATCAATACTACTTGCCCAGTCCCTATAGGCATTCACATTTGAGATATGTCCCCAAAAGTTCCTGGAGCGGTTGCTTGTTCTCAGCTTTCATGGCCCTTGTTCTCAGCGGGTTTCCTGCTAATACGTAAATTCTATTGTTGCCTATCTCACCTACTTGCTCTTGCTGGAGATGCAGCTCCTGAAGGTCACCCAAGATAGTTTTTAAGTTTTCTTTCATCCTCCTTCTTAGATAGCCTTCCAGGTCCTGGAGCTCTGTAATTTCCATCCCTCAACAAAAGAAGACATGGTGGCTCCAGGCTCACCCAGGGGCAAAGCCAGGCATCACAGTTCCCAGCACCTTCCACCCAAGAGTTGGTCAAACATGGCCTGAAGTCTCACAGGGATGTTTGTCAAGTCATTCCCCAGCTGGGGTCTCTGCCCCCTTTCTTCATCTTCACTTTCCCTTTCTTCTACCCTCCCCTCCCCCAGAGCCTCAGACATAGGCTGCAGAAGACCAAGGAGCAGGCCCGGCATCAGGACCAGCTGCTGAAGGAGCAGGAGAGAGAGCTGAAGGCACTGCAGGAGCAGCTCAGCAGGTAACCTTGGCAACCACCAACACACGGGGCGTGAGAGCCAGGAGGCTGGGGGAACAGGCCGCGCTCCATGGCTCCTGCTGGCATTCATGGTCAGCAAGCGTCTTCTGAGTTCCTCCTGTGCACCAAGCCCTGTGTGGGGCACAACTTTGGGATGCTGATGCATACAGGGCATTGTTTTTGCTCTCAAGGGCTCCCACCTTCTCCTCCCATGCCTTCCCTTCTCCCTTGCCTGCCCTCTCCTTCTCTAGCCTCCCTGTGTAGCCCCAGGATAGGTCTACACCTCCTGTCCCTCCCTTCCCTCCCGTACTCATCTCAGCCCCTTTCTGCTGCCTCTTCTGGGCCGCTCCTCTCTCTTTGCAATCCACTCTGCCTCCCTGCCCCACCACACTCCTTCTGTTCCTGTCTCTCATTTCCCATTCCCGACTGTACAACCTCTCTTTCACCCTCTGGATAATCATAATCATAACGATCATTTGCTACATACCTGGCACTGTTCTAGGCGCTTCCTCATAACAGCCTTATGAGAGGTTCTCTAAAGACCCCCATTTTATAGGTGAGGAAACTAAGATTCAAAAATGCTACACAATTCACCCAACACTGTTCACCCTCCTGCTATTTTAGCAGCTGCTCCTGGTGCTAAAGATCCCATGATTCAGGCCCTAACTGAATGCAGGGGCTTTGCCCGCCCAAGGGCTTGCTCTGTGAATCAAGACAGACTGGAGGGAGCAGCTGAGAGGCTCCAGCCCCAAGCTGCTCCCTGTCATCTCATCCATCATTCAGTCATTCCACAAACACTCAAAGTGCTCACTCTGTGCCAAGCCTTTTCTATGTGCCAGAAATTCTCTTGTGGACAAAACAGACAAAATTCCCACCCTCATGGAGCTTACATTCTAGTGGGGGAGGCAGCCAGTAATATGATAAGCAAGTAAAATACATGGAGTGTCAGGTTGTGATAAGTTCTAAGGGGGGGGGGGAATCAGGAGAGGGGAATAGGAAGTATCGGGGTGATATTAAATAAGGTAGCATGGTCAGGGAAAGGTGATGTTTGAGTAAAGACCTGAAGCAAGTGAGGCATGAGCCATTTGGATATGTGGTCGAAGAATGTTCCAGGCAAAGGAAACAGCAAGAGCAAAGGCCCTGAGGCAGGAATGAGCATGGTAGGTTCTAGGAGCACCAGGGAGGCCATCATGGCCCCAGTGGAATGAAGAAAGAAGGGGATATAGAGAAAGGTCAAGCAGGTAATGGGGACCAGGTTAGGGAGACCCTAGTAGGCATCAAAAAGACATTGGCTTTAACTGAGAGTAAAGTGAGAACCATTAAGAGTTCTGAGCAGAGAAGGGACAAGATGTGACTGTTAGTTTTTATGTTAAAAATCTGTTTATTTGCTTTTTTAAACAATTCAATGGCTTTTATTGTATTCACAAAGTTGTGCATGGATCACCATAATCGATCTGAGAGCATTTCATTCCCCCAAGGAAAACCCTGTACCCATTGCAGTCACTGCCCATTTCCTCCGAACCTCCCAGCTCTAGGCAACCACTAACCTGCCTTCTCTCTATAGATGTGCCTATTCTGGACTAGCCCGTGTCGTCAAGGGCTCTGTGAAGCTAGTCTGTGGGGAAGCAAGGGTGAAAGCAGGGAGACCAATGAGGAAGCTACCCCGCCATGCAGGGGAGGGTGCTAGTGACTCGGACTGCGCTGGTGGCAATGGGGGTGTGGAGAATGACTGAGTTTTCAGGCCGGGAAAGCTAGAGTCAACAGTGACCATCCGCTGTGCAGAGTAAGTTTGTGGGGATCATTCAGAAGTTGAGTTTGGAGCATGTTAAGTTTGAGACACCCATCAGACACCCAAGTGGAGCCTTTGGAAAGGCAATTAAGTGAGGTTCAGAAGAGAGGCATGGGCTCGGGGTCTACTGGAGAGTCATTGAAATGTGGGTGGTGAGTAACAGAAGCTCCTGAGTCATCAAACTGGTGACAGATTATCTCAGCACCAGGAAACAGGAGTGCCATGGGGCCCATTCGATCAGTCAACAATATTTATTGTGCCTCTACTACACCATGAGCAGGGGGTGGGGAGGACAGCAGTGAACAGAGCAGGCAACATCTGCTCTCAAAGACCTGGGGAGATAGACAGTAGATCAACGAGTCGAAACACAGTGTCAGGCAGTCATGGGCGCTGTGCAGAAAAATCAGTCCAGGGAAGGGGAGAGAGAGACAGGATAGTCTTCTAGATTTAGGATCAGGAAAGGCCTCTCTGAGATGACTTTTTTTTTTAATTCTCACCCGAGGATATTTTTTCCATTGCTTTTCAGAGGGGGGTGGAGAGAAAGAGAGAGAGAGAGAGAAACATCGATGTGAGAGAGACACATCGCTTGGTTGCCTCCCACATGTGCCCCGACTGGGACTGGGGGTCTAGCCTGCAACGAAGGTATGTGCCCTTGACCAGAATTGAACCCCGGACCCTTCAGCCCACAGGCTGACACTCTAACCACTGAGCCAAACAGGCTAGGGCTGAGGAGGTGACATTTAAGGAGAAACCCCAACCGTGGGAAAACTGGGGAGCAGTGCTCCAGGCAGGGGAGCAGCAAACACAGAGGCCCAGGAGAAGCGGGCGTGGGGCAAGCCCGCCGTGGCGGGAGCAGAGGGGGTGCCCGTGCTGTAGGACGCAGGGCGGTCTTCCGCAGGGGGCTCGTGGGCTGACTGAGGTTTCTGAAGGATGACTATGACTGCGCTGTGGAGAACAGACTGAGAGTGGGCGGGGGTGCAGGGCCCGGCTAGATGCATAGGGAGGACACAGCAGACCATCTCAGCAGCAGGTGCCAAAGCAGACCTGCCCGGGGTTCCCCTGAAAATACACTTGGAACTGAGATGTGGGACTGCCCTGGGGTCGCTAGGCAAGTAAACTCTCTCAGGGAAATAAAATCAGCAGCTAAAAACTGAGGAGGCTGAAGGCTAGAATGTTCATTAGAAGTCAAAACATAGCCCTGATCCAATGCCCGAGCATGCAAACACTTTCTTAAGGCTGCAGGGACTGGCTTTTTGGAGTTCCAGTGGCTACCTATTGTGGGTTTGATGTCATGGCCCACCCAGTTTTCTTCCCTGCAGCAGGCACACAACAGCATTTAAAAAATTAATAATTCAATTCATTGTCAAGCCTCTCGCAAGCTTCTTCTTCCCCTCAAACACACTCAGGCCCAGGGTCGTGGGGACTCACTTGCACACGCATCAGAGGTCATGGGACACGCACCACCACCGGGACACCCTCCAGTCTGAGTGACAGAGTAAGGGGCGGGACCTTTTTGTTTCCAGTCAGATTTCTTGGAACCTTCTAGGAAACCACTAAAGGCAAAGAGAAGATGCAAGAATAAAGCTGAGGAGGGTCCAAGCCCAAAGCTGAAACAGAAATTTAAGAAAGCCATGTGCTTAATATTACTTTTTTTAAATTGAAAAGACAATGTAGCATAATTTTTCAAAATATTTTAAAGCCAAAAAATCGCCCCATATCCTACACCACTTACTCCCACTTCCCCAAGTACCACAGTTGTTTTCAGCTGCTGGGTTCTCAGATACCCACCTTTCCCCAGAGAGCTGCCATGATTGTGAACATGCCTTTGCAGAAGTTGACATTGTAAAATGGAAATATTTTTAAAGAGAGAACAAATGGAAATGTTGGCTTGTCTCCTTTAAAGGAATACACAAGACTAGACCCTGTGTTCATTTCTCTGAGCAGTTGGTGAGGAGTCAGCCTCTAGATATCAGTCCACACAGTGCTCGGTTTGGTGTGCGATGTGGTGTTTGTGGGGTGTGGCATGTATTATGTTAAGAGTATGTAGTGTTTTGTAAGTGTATGTGGTATACAGTGTGTATAGTGTGCCATGAATGTGTGTGGTGTGTGTATTATGTGTGTGTGGTATGTGTTGTGCATTTGTGGTGTGTGGTGTGTGATGTGTGTGCAGTATGTGAGTGTGTGCGTGTCTGGTGTGTGTCTGGTGTGTTGTGAGTGTATATGGTATGTGTGGTGTGTGTGGTGTGCATGTGTGATGTGTGTATGGTGTGTTGTGAGTATGTGTATGGCATGTGGTGTGTGTGCTATACTTTGAATATGTGTGTGGTACGTGTGCTGTATCGTAAATGTATTTGGTGTGTATATGTATATGTGTAATGTGATATGTTTGTGCATGTATAGTGGGGGGTGTAGTGGGGGGCGTTTATGTATAGTCTGTGTGTGATGTAGTGTGGTATGCGTATAGTGTAAACTGTGTGTATATATAGTATGTAGTATGTGTGCATGGGTGGGTGTGTGTGGACTTCAACTGCAGGGGGTACCACCAGCTCCCCCAGAGCTCCCTGGCAGGCAGAGGCCCAGCCCAGCTCAGTCAAAAGCTGAGTCAGCTGAGTCTGCCTTTCGTGCCCAGGTGTCAGGAAGAGCGGGCCCAGCTGCAGGCAGAGCTGGAGCAGAAGCAACAGGAGGCTGAAAGGAGGGGCGCCATGTATGAGGAGGAGCTTGGAGGGCAGCGGGACCTGGTCCATGCCATGAAGAGGCGGGTGCTGGAACTGATTCAGTAAGTGGGGGACAGTGGGCAGGGGTGCAGACAGGGAAATGGTATGGAATGTAGAGGCTAGGGAATGAAAATTCTGCACCACTAACAACTATCAAGCAGGACTCTGGACCTTGTGTATATATTAACTCATTTCCTTTTTTTAGCAACCCCCTGCTATTATTCCCATTTTACAAACTGAGGGTCAGAAAGACTGACTTGGCCACCAAGGACACACAGCATATAAATTGCATAGAGTCCTCTGACTCTAAGTCATACCCTCCACCCCAACCCACCCCCACATACACACACACATACTGAAGTTAGGAGAAGGGGGAGGAGCCCATAGGCTCGGAAAGAATTGGGAGAGGGGGCAGGTTAACCAAGAAGTAATAACATATCCTACACCTGCCTGCCTACTTGGACTTCCTCAGATCACTGGGCCTGTGGGCCTGTCCAGGATCCGCTGTCCTAGGTTCCAAAGGCTGGACTTGCCAGAGTCAATTCCAAACCACTAAGCTCACTGAGGGATGAAGGACATATGTAGATCCTGGTCTCTGCTCTTCAGTCTAATGGAGAGATGATTCACAGATATGGCATCCTTTACCCAGTTCAGGAAATAAGAGACCACTGCATTCACGTTTCATTAGAATTGGGAGGTTGCTGCAGGATCATCTAAGATGAAATCCTCTTGCACAAAATCCAAGTGATAATAAAGATGAGAAAAGGGAGAAATCACCTGAAAAGAACAAACAAACTTAAGGAGTGAGCTCTTCCAAGGAACTCTCAGCTGGGAGGAAGGGATATATCAAAAAGTAGCTATGTATCTCACAAAACAATTTAAGGTAGCTAACGATGAAAGATAAATATACAGATATAGATATAGGATTATTAAAGAAAAATAGAAGATTTCATGGCAGACAAAAAATATATACTCCCAAAGTGTTAGGATTAGGGTTAAATTTAACTCTGAGCATCTTGGCAGCAGAATCAAAACGGGAAACACAGAAAGTTGCCTAAAATTCACTGTGCATTCAAAGGAAATATATCAGTTCATGAGGAGACACAAATGTTTTTCCTAGTGCTAAAGAAATTCATCCCAAGGTCCCAAACTATATAATATAGTGTCCCTTGCAAAAAGCATTTTGGGAGATATGGCCCTAAGCAAAAAGTGAAAGAAAAGAAAAAAGCCATTGAGGTTGACTTCTGCTTCAAAATGCTAGACCGACCTCACATCCTCTATTCTCCATCTTCAGCTCTCACTAAAACGATTGTAAAGGAATAAAACTTACAGCGGAGAGAAAGGTGGAGGAGCCAGCCACAGATGAGAGATTTCGGCTAATTTCCAGAAGCCAGAAAATGGATGGAGAAGTGGATACTGGATTTAGCCCAAGTTAGAACTTCAGGGCCCAGACACACCAGGAACATATATGGCAGAAGTGAGATGAAGGGCAGAAATCAGGAAAATAAACTGATGAAGGCAGTAGAAAGAGACTGCAGAACACCCAACAGTAGAGGGGCTTATCTCCCAAGCAAATAATTCAAAAGTCCTTATCTGGAGAAAGTGAGATGCCCCAAATAAAAGAGCATCGTGTTCTGGCTTTTGAGTCTGGTGTGGCCAATAGCTCCCAGTCCAGTCCCTCCTAAAGGAAAGCCCTAGGCAGTCATCCTGTCCACTAGTTGGAGCCCCAGCAGCTTTATTGCCTCCACTTAAACTTGAAAGGCAACCAAGTTTTCATAGGCATTTGAGGACAGTCTAGAACATGAGGAAGAGACAAAGATAAAGAAAGATCCATTTCCCGTGAAACAAGATGCTAGGAAAAGTGACCGCCAAAAGATGAGAAACATTCTTGGAAATTAAAATACCACTGAAATTTTTCTAAATTCACTAGGATTGGAAGAGAAAGATGAGGCAACCTTTCAGAAAGAAAAAAAAGGGAGAGAGAAAATAAAATGGAGATTATCAGATAAAAATATGAGAGACTTTCTTAGTTCTAATGAACATAGAGTTTCAATTTAAATATTTCACTAGGTGACCAGCACAATAAATGAAAGGGGGGAACCCCACATCTACGTACATCATTGTGAAATTTCAGCAAAACAAAGATAAGAAGACTATTTTAAAATGTGGGTCACTTATAAAAGAAGTAGAACACAACAAATGTTAAGAATTAATGGTGTAATACTTTCAAGTTCTGAGAAAAGCTGAGTTTTGCCCTAGAATTCTTTGTCCAATCAAACTATGGAGCAAGTGGGGAAGGGGATAGAGGAAAAGACATTTTCAGACAAACAAGTCACAGAAAATTAACCTCCCACGCAGCATTTCTTAAGAAGCTAGTTAAGGATGTGTCCCAGAAAAACAAGGAAGCAAGTCAAGAAAAGAGAAGGTGTAGAATTCAGGAGGCAGTAGCTCTAGCCCAGGAGAGAACAAAAGGGGATTCCCAAGGTGACAAGTGGGCAGCAAGGCCACGAAGCAGTCCATCCAGGCTGTAGCAGAAGTATTAGCCCAGGAAGTAGGTCTCTGGGGATAAAAAGAGAATCAATAAAATACTTCATATAATGAAGAATTGGAGCAGGGTGGAGGGGGTGAATGGGGAGGAAAGGGGGGCATTTGCAATACTTTCAACAATAAAGCTAAATTTTAAAAAAAGAATCTGGGTGGGCAGAAATAATTAGGCTATGTTAAGGGCAAGTGATACAAGGAACAAAGAAAGGCAATTAGATACACAATGCAATATACAGACGATGTATCATAGAATTGTACACTTGAAACCTATATAATTACATTAACCAATGTCACCCCAATAAATTCAATTTTAAAAAATAAAATACTGTAAAAGAAAGGCAATTAGACAGTCCTAGAAAAAAACAAAAAATGTCCAAGAAGGCAAATGTTATAGAACATAGCTCTGCTTGAAGCAATATGCTCACATACTGTCCAATGATGTAAATATTAGTCACTGATTTTTTTCAACTTAAAGGCAAAGCCCAGGAAATGATTATAATTATGCAACAAACATAAATGTTACCACCCAAACAATATTGATTGTAGAACAGAATCCAATAGAACTTTCTGTGACAATAGAAACGTTCTTTATTTCTCTTGTCCAATATGGTAGCTACTAGTCACATATAGTGATTGAGTATTTTAAGTGTGACTGGTGTTACTAAGGAACTAAAGTTTTCATTTTATTCAATTTTAATTAAGTTACATATAAATTCACATAGCCACAGGTGGCTAGGGGCTACCCTATTAGATGTCGCAGGAACAGATGACAAGTTAGGAGGTGGGAGAAAAAGGGGATGCTGGCGTCATTGTATCACAGAATGGCTGTCATGAAACACTACCTATAGATAATAGAATGAGTGAGAAATAAAGGTGTGAGAGTATCCTGTAAAAGTCCTACAGCAACCAATAAAGGAACCAAAGATAGGGATATCACTACATTGGGAGGAAGGAGGATTTGATGGAAATGGTCATAACTAAGCTAAATCCTCTGACAGCAAAGTAAGGAGCTCTATAGAAGGAGTCCTCTCTTGATAAATCAAAAAGGAGGGCCATGAGCATGTTAGCTAACTATCAGGAGGAAAAGCTAAAAGATGTAAGAAGTGGTTTGCCACCTAGAATGGGAAGGTGCCTATTGCCTTTTGATATAAATCCTTCTGAACTGTTCAATTTTTACATCATGGGTATGTATCATTTTGATAAAAATTTAAAACAACCCGCCTTCCTAGCACATCATATAAAAAAAACAGCACTGGCGATAGTTTTGGAGGGGCATAAACATATATAACTCCAAGGCAGTTTGTACTAAGTGCCAAATAAAAGATAACAGGCATTATATGCTATAGGAGTCTGGAGCAAGAAAGCCACGGGGCCCCCTACCATCAGGGAGCAATCCTGAGAGGAGGAGGACTATGAACACATTGCTAATAGTGGATCAAGGTTTTGATGGGCAACAGGGCCCTGCCACCATCATCAAGTCTTCCCAGAGACACTGGAGTCTCACTGATCTCTCTTATGTGTGTGAGTCTCTCTGTCTCATTTCTCTCTCTCTCTTACCCCATCACTGTGTCTCTTTCTCTCTCTCCATCTTCATATTTGTCTCTCCCTCTCTGTCTGTGTCTTGGTCCCTGTCTGTCTCTGCATCTTNTTCCCCATCACTGTGTCTCTCCCTCTCTGTCTGTGTCTTGGTCCCTGTCTGTCTCTGCATCTTTCTCCCTGTGTCTTTCTCCCACTGCATTCCTCTCTCTACTTCTCTGTGTGTGCCTGTCTCCTTCTCCACTCCCTGATTTCCTTTCTCTCTGAGTGACTGTCTCCTGCTGTCCCTCTTTGTCTCCCTCCCCATTCCTGTGTCTGTCTTTCTGCCCTGCTATTTCTGTCTCTTTTTGTCTCTGCGAGTGTATCTCTGTGTGGCTCCCCTCTCTCATTCTTTGTCTCTGTGTTTCTCTTTCTGTCCATCTCTGAGTCTCCATCTGTGCCATTTCCAACATTATATCTTCCTGTCTGTGTGTGTGTTCTCTCTCCCTCTCTCTAATCACTCTCTACCACCCCCACCCCCACCCCATCTGCCCATCAGAGAGAAGGATAGCCTGTGGCAGAAGGTTCAGCATCTCTCTTCCGTGGCCCCTGGATGCTGTGTCGGCTGTAGCAAGCTCTTTGGCCGGCTGTCTCGGCGGTACCCATGCAGGTAATGAGTAGGACAGAGAATCCTTCCTCTGGGACAGCCCAGTTTCCACCTGCCCACGGCCCCCTGCCCACTCCAGGGAAGGGAGGGACATAAGAACTGGGTGTTTATGAAAGGCTACTTAAAGCTGGCCACTCATAGTATCCACCACTTAGCAGAGACATGAACAAGAGCAGTGGAGAAAGTTCAGACAGGAAGGGCTTCTGGAAGATGGGACGGTGTAACCCTTCCAAGAATAGACTGATTGATGGGCTTCTCATCTGGGAAGAGGACACTGAGGCAGGACAAGCAGCAGGAGAGAGGAAAGTGGGCCATCAGGAGAACCTGCCGCTTGGAATTCGAGGACCTTAGAGGAGTGGGGCATTGGGACACCCTTTAGGAAAGCGGAGGCCTCCTGGGACAGTCCCAGGGCTGTTCTATCGGGAGATGAGAGACAGGCAGGTGGACTTGAAGATACTTAAACCCCATGACCCTCTCCCGTGTACACACCCATGTGCTCCCCACTCTTTCCACCTTTGCTCCAGGCTATGTGGAGGCCTGGTTTGCCATGCCTGCTCTGTGGATTACAAGAAGCGAGAACGCTGCTGCCCACCCTGTGCCCAGAAGGAAGCCCAGGTCGTCTAACCAGGACCCACCCAGGACTGGTCACTCCACCCCCCTCCCTCCAGCCCTTCTGTGACCTCTGACCTGACCAGTACTACCTTCCAGAACTTGGAGACTTAAGGCAGACAGCACTTGAGTAGCCAGACAGTGGTGTGGAGAGTGGAAGGAGCCTGGCTGGCAGGCAGGAGACGGGTTTGAGCCCTGCATGTACCACTGATGACCTGGGCAACTTTGGCAGAACCCTCAGCTCTCTAGGCTTTTCTGTAATGTGAGGAAGTCGGACACCATCCGCTCTAAGGTCCCTTTGGGCTCTGAAAATCCTTGACTAACAATAGACCCAATGGCCTGGGCTTCGTCCTCAACACCCCTCCTCACCCAGCCCAGCCTTCACTGCACTGCTCTGTCTCAAGGTGCTCGGGAGTGTCCTGTCCGCAGTCTGCTTCAGGGTCTGTTTTTGCTGTTTTTCACAGCTTTCCAGAGGTACTATTAACATATAACACACTTCATGTAACTTGTACAATTTGACGAGTTTTGACTTTAATTTACAACCATGAAATCACGACCATATTCAAAATAATGAACACATCCATTAGCCCCAAAGTTTCCCCGTGCCCTTTGGAATCTCTCCCTTCCCGTGCCCCTCCCCTCTTCCCATCCCTGGGCAACCATTTGCCTGCCTTCTGTCACTAGAGACCAGTTTGCATTTTCTAGAATTGTATATAAATGGAATCATATTGTCCGCCTTCTTTCACTCAGCACAATTGTTTTGAGATTCATCCATGTTGTTGTTCATACCCACAGTTCCTTTTTTAGTGTTGCATAGTATTCCACCGCATGGATATAGCACAACCTCTTTATACATTCACCTGTTGCCAGACATTTGGGTTGTTTCTAATTTGAGGCTATTACAAATCAATTCTTATAATCATCTATGTACGAATCTTTGTGTAGACATATGCCTGTATTTCTCATGGATTAATACCTAACAATGAAATGGTCAGGTCATATGGCAGGTATATGTTTAAGAATCTGCTGAGTTATTTCCCAAAGAGATTATGCACTGTACCCTCCTGCCAGCAGGGTGTGGGAGTCCCAGCTGCTCCCCAGGGCATTTGGTTTGGTAGCAGAAGAGGAGACACAGACATGGAACTTGGCCCTCCCTGTCCTTCCCTTCCAACCACTATGGTGACTTGAGCAGTCCCCAGTTGTGAGGCCTGGAGGGAGGGACTGAGTCTAGGTGACTCTTTGTACAGGGCTCACTCAGCTAGACTTTAATAAAGACAGTTATTGAGAATTCAAGTAGCTCTGTGGGACAAGATTATTTCCTCTGACTGCCCAAGAAGCCTTATGCAAATTGTGTCATTCACTGGGCACCCAACTGAAAATACTGTTTCGGAAATAGTGTGGGCCCCACTCTCTAAGAGGACAGACTCTGTGGCCCCAAGCAGGCATGCATATGCTGTCCCTGTACCCCCGCCTCACATGACTGCCACAGCCTCTGCAACGGTTGGGCAACTCTGTGGCCTGACCAGAGCCTGTGGACTGCCTCCTGGGGTCAGGGCCACCTAGAGTTGCATCCCGTTGCCATCTCATGGAGCAAGAGTTTTGCAACAGCAGTTCCTGCCCTGAAGAGTTGGTGACAACTTCTCCTTAGCAGTGTCAGCAACAAGGTGAGGGGGCAGGGAATGGAGGGAGCAGGGGCGTGGGGTGGGTGGCAGAGCTGGGACTCCCAGAGCAATCAGGACAAAAAAATCCACCCACCTGAAAGGGCAGCAGTGCCTCCTGGAGGTCAGACTTGCTCAGGTACTTTATTAGGGTGAGTTTCTTGCTCTAGCTGAGAACATCGTATTCTCGTAGCAACCCCAGCATGGACTTCAGACCTGCCTGATGAACTGATGGGGGAGAGGGGACCTTGCAGAAGCCTATGTTCAAAGAGGAAACAAGATGCTCCTGGACAAGAACTCATCAGGAGGAAATCAGGGGCCGAGAATGGGGGAGAAGTCCCCTGGTTGGGAGGGATGGAGGGCAATGCTGGGGACCAGTCTCCAGCTTACCACTACTCCCCAGAGGGTTCCCACCAAGTCTACTGGAGAGCACAAGAGCTCCACAAGTACACTGGGAAAGCTCATTAGACCTTGGGGATACTCTGGCAGAAGACCTCCCCAGAGCATGGCACTGCGAGGGGACCAGAACTTCAGCAGTGACTCCAGGGCACGTATCTGCACAGTAGCATCCAGAGAAGCATGTAGGAAATGCCCCCAACAGACTCCTCCAAGTTCCTGGGGAGCACTTACAGGGGGATGAAGCCCAGTACAAGCACATGGGTCTGAGCCAGTGCAATTTGGATTACTGCTATTGACACGACTTCGTTGTGCTCACAGGCTGAGGGTGCCCTGGAAAATTTGGGCTATAATTATTTCTTTAATTAGATGTCACTCAGAAGTTCCAGCATACATCAGTTTCCCCACTTTGTCAATTCATTCAGTGCTCAAGAAAATTGTATTATACACCTAGGATATGCCAAACACTGATTGGTTTGGGGATACAGAGGTTATATATATCCACCATACACCTGATTTCACAAACCTCACAGTGGGGAGTAGGAAACAGTCAAGCAGAGAATTACAGAGCCCTGTAACTGAAGACATGATAGAGGTACCTCCTGGGCTGAATTTGAAAGGAAAGGGCGAGTTGGACCAGAGGGAGAGGGTAGGAAAGAGTGTGCAGGGGGACAGAAATGTATGGCAGGCCCTGAGGAGGAAGCAGAGCAGTTCCTAGGGGAAGTGCAAGAGGTTCCCTGTGGCTGAAGTTAAGGGTTCAAGGGGGCGTGGCCTGAAATGAGACTGGAGAAGTACACAGAGGTCAGACGCAGGGACACAAGGTACATGGGTCAGGAGTTTGATGCTGAGGATAATGGGGGTCCTTGAATGGTCGTAAGAGAAAAAGAGTGTGATCAAATTCACACTTTAGGGAGGTCGATCTGGTAGCAGGGTGTAGGATGAATTTTGGGGAGAGGCTGGAGGCAGAGAGCACTTAGGAGACTAGCAGCAGTAACAGCACAGCAGCAGCCACAGCCGACACTGCCAAGCACCATTCTAAGCGCTTCACACACGTAGACTCGTGTAAGCCACATGACAGTGGGTTCCCCCATTATCCCCCTGCTGCAGTTGATGAAACTGAGACCTACTGAGATTAAATAACGTGCCCAAGGTCTACAGCCAGTAAGTGACGTTGCTGGGATCCTAACTCAGGCAGCCCAGCTCTTGGAATCCACAGCTATGGCCCCACTGCTGCAGCAGCTTGGGCGAGAGTGAAGTGTTGCCTAACACGGTCAGGGAAGGTGGTGAGGAGGAGATAACCAAGCGAGATGTCAAGGAGAGATCTTCTGTAGAGAGGAAGAGGGAGGGGAGTGTGAAGGGAGCGTGAGAGGCACGGGTCCTGCTCGCTCAGCTGCGTGGATGAGGGGTGCTCTGGAGGAGAAGCCCGTGGGAATTTGCAGCAGCTGGGGAACCTCAGGGGAGACTTCATGCGGTCAGTGCATGTAACAGTTGGGGCTTAGGAGAGAGCTTAGAAGAGAAGTTGGGAACTATAGGTATGAGAGACACTGATGAGCTCGGTGATCACCAAAGTCAAGGGGGGAGGTGGGCTGGCCTAGGGGGAGCAGGTTGAGAAGAGGTCAGAGGCATAATCCCGGGAACATCCAATTTCAGGAGTGAACTGAGCATAAAGCAACAAATGAAACCACGAGAGATTCAGGAGAAAGAGGGGAATGGGATCAGTGGGGTTAAATGACGCAGAGGTCAAATAAGATAGCACTTGAACAGTCAGCATTTCACCATAAATAAATTTTAAAAGCACACAGTAGGCTGGGAGAAAATGGTTTACCATAATTGGCAAGTATGAGAGAGTGTGAGTAGAGAGGGTAACCGGTCCTTTTATAAACTGATGGTGGGAGATTAAACTGGCACGGTCATCTTGAAGGGCCATACAGTCTTGTTTATCAAAATTTAAACATGCCTAGCCCTGACCGGATGGTTCAGTTGACTGGAGAATCATCCCATACACCAAAAGGCTTCGGGTTCAATCCCGGGGCACATATGGGAACAACAGGTCAATGTTTCTCTCTTACATCAATGTTTCTCTCTCCTCCCTCCCTCTGTCTCTAAAATCAATAAAAGAGAACATGTCCTCGGGTAAGGATTGAAAAAAAAAAGTAAGAAAAGTTTAAATGCTCCCAAATACGACCCAGCAAAATTATACTTAAGCTACAGAAACACTCAGACACATTCCCAAAGACTGACATCCAAAAATGCTCCTAGCAAGAAGCTAAGTGTCCATCTATAGACAATTATTATATAAATCATGATACAGACATCCCATGGACCAATAGGTCATCATTAAAAAGAGCGAGATAGATCTCTATGTACTGATGTGGAATAGGTCCACGATACATTGCTAAGGTGCAGAAAATATAACTAGTTAAATATGTTATATTTTTATTAAGGAAGGAAAGAAAGAAAGCATGTTTGTGTGCAGGGGGGAACATCTGCGGAAAGGCAAATATGAGTGAAGAGAGGGATGGAAGGGAATCTTTCAAGTTTTACTTTATAGGCTTGTGTATCACCTATAATCTTGACAATATGCATGCTTTATTTTTATAATATGAAAGCTGGGTTCAGTAACCCGGAGGTCATTGGTAACCCTGGCAAAAGCTGTCTCAGCAGAGCAGAGGGAAGGAAGCTAGCAGCAGTGGGTTGAGCAGTGAACGAGAGCTGGCCAAGTGGAGACAGCTGCTTTGTCAAGAAGTTTCCTTATGAAAAGGAGAGCACAGGGGAACAGTAGCTAAAAGGAAACCAGAACAGAGGAAGGGAGAGAACGACATAAGCAAGTTCAGGGGCTGAAGGGAAAGAAGGCAGTTGAAGGGCAAAGTGCCGGGAGGCAGGATCCTCAAGGATGTGAGAGGCAGTGGGTCCCACAGGCAGGTACAGGAATTCACCAGACAGAGAAGGAGGGACAGTTCTCATGCTGACCCTAGAAGGAAGGAAGCGAGTTCGGGCAAGTGCGCACGAGTTTCAGGCAAGTCTATCAGCTGGGGGCTGGAGTTGCCTCCAGCTTCCTTTTAAAGAAGGAGGTACAGGTTCACAACGCTCAGAAACAGAGATGGACTGGGGCAAACCTCCACCTTCAGACTGGCAGTTCCCTCCAGAAGCCACTAGACAGGCAGGTGTGAAAATCCGAGCACTGATACAGAATCTCCTGGTGGAGCCTTGGCCTGGAGCCAGAGAATTTATTGCTCCTCTGTGGGAACACCTCCCCTTGTGGGCCTCTTGGATTTCCCCCTAGGCAACTCTGCCTCAGAAGTGTCCCCATAAAGTCCGATTCATTTTTTTTCCTGTCCAACAGCCCTGACTGCTGCCAAGCCCTGAGTCACAGCGGAAGTATCAGAGGCCACATCAATAACGACAGCAGCAGTAGCAGCGACAGCAGGTAGGTGAGCTGTTCAGTCTTAGGAATGCTGGGGACATATTTCTGATGGAAGAGACTTGGAAACTTCAGTCTGAGTCCCCTCCCTAAGAACTGAGGTGATGAATTGCTAAATCTTAGAGCTAAAGATAACTGTCTTCACCTAGACAGCCCAGTACCAAAGAACTTTCTGTTTATAGAAAATAACAGAAATAGTCTATCTGCACTATCCAGTATGGTAGCTACTAGTCACGTGTGGCTACTGAGCACTTGAAATGTGACTAATGTGGCTAAGAAACTAAATTTTTTATTTTAATTAATTTCAATTGAAGTAGCCACATGTGGCTAGTAGCCATCATATTGGGCAGTACAGATCCAGAACAATCTCCTTTTTTTCCAATGAACCACGTCAAGGCTCAGAGACCAATGACTTGTCCAAGCTCACATGGCCACTAACAGCAGAACCAGGATTGGAAACTGGCTCTCTATTCAGCGCACCGTCAACGGACTCAGAGGAAATGAAATCAACCTAATGAAAATCAAGAAGTGAACCAGTTGGGAAATGTCAAATTTGGGCTCTCTTTTCTACGCCTTTGGTATTCCATTGTCTGGGACAGAGAGGTACCTAATGGAGTTCAGAAACCTCAGGCTGAGATCCAACCCCTTGTTACAGTGAACAGAATACAAGATTTGAGGTCAGGTAAAAATCTTTAAAAAGTCTTAAAAACTGCTTAACATCTAATTCATATGCGTCATTCTAGGTAAGTTGCTTAACTCCTAGAGTCTTGGTTTCCTCATTCGGAAAGTATATTTTGTTCTGAAACTTAAATGATACACATTCTGAAAAGCACTTTTCCCCGAAGCTAGACCTTCACAGGCACTCAACACTACAGCTAGTGTGACTGCTGTTATCCAGGTAACTGCACATTGAAGACTCGCCGCTTTCCCTTGCTTGGGGATGTAGTGGGAGAGACAGCCTGCTATTAGTTGACAAACTATTTCAGTAATAATGATCATGACAATAAATGCAAACATCATGCTTTATATGTGTCTTAAGTGCTTTTCGGGTAATATCTCACATAATCCTCAGCCTCATTTTACAGATGAGTAAACTTAGAGACTCAGAAAGGAAAGGTCACTTGCCTGGAGTTGGTCAGCCAGCAGAGTTCTTAACTACCACTCCCATCTGCTGCTCTCCATGCGTAATGAGCCTCTATCTGGCATTAGCATCACCTAGCCTGGAGTCATCACATTCTTCCCCAACACGGGAAAGAGAGAGGGGACAAAGAACATTTGCTAAACAGCTGGACTCAGAGGTTCTCTCCTTGGAGTAGGCAGCTTAGGTGAGTTGGCCACAGGCTCTGAGCACTCACTGGGCGAGAGGCTGGGATAAGGAGTGGTGGAGGGATTGAGGTTGCTAGGTTGGGGCTTAGGAGGCAGTGGTGAGTTTGTGTTCACTGCTCTGCCTGTATTTATCCTTTCAATTGCAATCAATAGCAAATGTGACGAAATATATTCTTAGTGTCACTCAACACTGTTTTCAAAAATGTGTTAGGCCTTGGGTAGGATTTTAACTTTTACCAAAAAGCTTTCTTTCCAAATTACATGGTCTTGGCTCCAAAGCTGATAGCTACGGCAGACCCAATTCCAAGTGTACAAGCCAAGAAAGAAAAGCAATGCCCTAAGAGGGGCTCATGGTAAAAGCAGATGTTTGGGGAGTGAAGTGAAAGACAAGGAGAGGTGGAATGGGGCCCCCATTCAGGGGCGGGGGTTCTCAAAGGGATGTGGCATAGAGAAGGAATCTGTGACGATTGCTGGGGTGGGTGGGGCAGAGACAGGAGGCATGAGGTCCAAGGAAGAAAGCTACCAGACTCTCCAGAAGCTTAAGTTCCATCTCCATTCTCTTAATGAGCTGCTCCCCTTTCAGTGTGAAAGATGCTTAAGAGAGGCAGTGCTGCTGGATAGTAAACCAGGGGAAGGCTGAGGCAACCAGAATGTGGAGAGGGTCAGACAGGACAGAGGCTGCTGAGATCAGGGCACAGATGGAAGAAATCTGTGTGGTCCTGGGCAAACCACTACCTCTGTGTGGGCCTCAGTTTCCTCATCTGTGAAACAGAAAGATTGGCTAGAAAATGCCACAGGTCCTGCCCAGCCAGGCGTGGCTCAGCGGTTGAGCATCGACCTAGGATCCAGGAGATCCTAGAGGTTCGATTCCTGGTCATGCCCGGGTTGTGGGCTGCAGCTGATCAATGACTCTCTCATCATTGATGTTTCTATCTCTCCCTCTCCCTTCCTCTCTCTGAAATCAATAATGATATATCTTTAAAAAAAAAGAAAGAAAGAAAATGCCACAGGTCCTTTCCCAGTATGAACCTTACCAGTCCATAAAATGTCAAAGAGCTGACCTGGGAATTAATTATTCGAGTTATCAAGAGCATCCCACACCCTCAGGGACTCCGCCCCACAATTAAGCAATCTAATCCACCACTCACTTCCTCTACTGTGTTCTCACCACCGCCGCCCTTGTAGTCAGGCACATCTGCTCTCCTGGAGGTGTCCTACAGGTGAAAAGCCCAGAATCCTGGTAAGTCTTGGGATGCTCACCCTCCCCACCATTCAGAATACCTCTGTTCTCTGTCTCCCTTGACACCAGCTTCCATTTACCCCAGGTGTCTTTCCCTACCCTTGTTCTCTTCATTCTCTCTCTTTAGACCACCCTATCTTTAAAGGGAGAGTTTCTGCCCTCTCCCGTACACCTCTCTCCAACAACCACTTAGGGCAACTCGATGCCCACCCCCTTCCCTTCCCAACTCTACCAGGTCTCCATGCTTGGGTCAAAATTGGATGTGAGGGAGGACCAGATACTGTGGAGTCCCTCTTCCCATATGTTAAATGCTAATGTGTGTGGATATTTATAGAGAGAAAAAATACTGGAATTGTATTAAAATGACTGACTTTTTGTTGTTAAAAAGATTGCTTAAGTGTTTGAAATCTTATAAAATCCTCATTCTATAGCATTTTCATGAAATAAACTAGAATCATCCCATCCATGTTTTTTCTGAACTACAGTGAGTCTTTAAGGGGCTGGCAAGTTCTCTGGATGACAGAATCTCCTCCTGACACCAAGAACGTGACCAGGTGATCAGTAGAGGCCAGCCAGTTCAAGGGAGTTTGGTTTTTCATTCCTGAAAGGGCTGTATCTTTCATTCTGGGCTTAAGGAATAGCAAAGAAAGCAAATACACAGCACATTGAACAATGGCAGTAAACTATACACAGCTTGACTAGTGCTATCTCAAGGATTTAACTTACAAATATGTTTTATATGTGAACTATAATTTTGTTTTTGGTTGTCAAATGATTCTTTGCAGTTCTTAACTAGTTGGGCATTCCACCACACCACTGTTGATGTATAAGGGTAACAGCCATCAACAGGGCCGCCCACAGACTGGGTGATCCCCAGGATATCTTTAACGGTTCCAGAGAGTTCTCTGGCTAAAGATCGGTGCTATATCTGTCAGGCAGTGTTGACAATCTCATCAAAAGTGATGTTTCCAATGCACTTAATGTTTTTCTTTTTCTTCTGTCTCTTGGCGGTTCTTAGAGGGCTTTGATGGTCAGGACAGAGGCAGAGGTACCACCTCAAGCTGGGCCTGTCTGTTCTGAATGGTCAGTTTCCTGGTTATCCTCGGACCCTTCCAATCACCTATTGCCTTGGCATCATCACCAGGCCTTTTAGGAAACAGACCCAGAGGGCTGATCTTGAGATGAAGGGCAGACGTGGCACTGACTGTCTGGTACAGGACTTTCATCTCATTGAGGTAGAACTTAGGGAGCGTGGTGGAGGAGGCAGGTATCAGGTGGAACTGGATTCGGGATGCATGAAGAAAGTTGCATTTGGCCTTCTCTGATCCTAAAGCTCAACGGTGTGATTTTTTTTTTTTTTTAAGAAGCAGGTCTGCAGACTGAAAATAGCCTGTAGAGCCATTCACAGTTGGAATTTTGGCTGCAGCACTTCTAGGCTCTGCGACCATAGGCTGGTTTCTGAGCCTCGCTGTGTTTGTATTCTCACAGGTAAACAGGAGCTTCATCATATCTATTTGTAACGATCAAGGGAGATCATATACCTGGGAGGCACAAAGTAGATCTCAGAGTGTCATCTTCTCATTGTCCTTTCCTTAGTTTCTCCCCTCTAGAGACTGGTTAAAAAACAAACAACAAAACGTTCTCTCCACTCCCCTACACCCATCCCCCCACACACACCTGGCCAGTGGCTGGAGGTTATTGCCCTGGCCTGGTGGCCTGGTTCTCTTTTCTGAGTTCTCTGCTTCTACCCTTATTTGCATGAGAGTAGAGCTTACCCATATACCTGCAGCCTGGCCCCAGCAGAGCTGAGCACTGGATTGTCTAGAATGAGGGCTTATCTGTGAATCATGCTTGTCCGCTGCTGCCTTTTCCCATAGGAAAGTTTCTGTCGCTGCCCCAGCCCTGCCTCCTCACAGTTGATGCCCATAGATATGGGGTCTTCTCTCTGCAGGCAAAAGCTTTCTGCACCCATCAGTGATCGGCCTCCTCTCTCAAAGGTCGGTCTTCTCCTAGGTCATTTGATCCCTTAAGCACATCTCTGATCTTCTGTTCATAGAGGTGAGCCACCGTTGACCTCACAAGTTCATGACCCTGGGCCTCTGAGCAAACTTGCTCTTGACCACAGAACTACAGAGCCAGTGATTTCTCGCACGTCTTGCCAACAACACTGGCCAAGCCAGCTCAACTATCTGCCTCTCCCACTACCACCCCTTCCTCCTGGCCAGAGAGGGCCTCATTCTTATCACCTCATCTTTCTATATTCATGGGCTGATCAAATCTGCTCTACCTGTGGTTTCCATGTGCTGAGAAGGCAATTTATCTGGCCCCCATCACTCAGGGGAGAAAGTAATACCTTCTAAGGGAGGTGAAGACTAAGAATTCCATCACTCTAAGGGAAAGGGGCATTATTTTTCCAATTTCTCTTAACACTACTCAGCTTTCTTCTTTGTTACAAATGATTAGTGATAACAGACTTTCTTCTGCTAAAGCAAAAAGCTTCCTAGGAGTTTTGTTGTTGATGATGTTGTTTTAATATTTGTATTTGCTTTGCAAGGCTATACACCTTTGGTTAATCTTTTTTTTAATTGAAATATAATTCATACACCATAAAAGTCACCCATTTACAGTGTATACTCGGTAATTTTAGTATATGCACAAACTTATACAACCATCATCACTATCTAATACAGAACACTTTTATCACCCGGAAAAGAAATCCTGTGCTTGCACTTATTAACATTCTGCCTGGCCCCCCCTTCCCCCCTCCCCCCCGGCAGCCACTAAATGTACTTTCTGTCTCTACCGATTTGGTTATTCTGGATGTTTCACATACATGGAATCATACAGTCTAAAGTGTTTTGTGTCTGGCTTTTTTCACTTAGAATACTGTTTTCAAGGTTTATCCATATTGTAGCATGTATAAGGATTTCCTTCCTTTTTATGGTTGAATAATATTCCATTGTGTGTGTATACCACCATTTGTTTATCTATTTATCAGCTGATGAACAGTTAGATTGTTTCTACTTTTTGGCTATTACACTGCTATGAACATTCATGTGCAAGTTTTTATGTGGACGCACATTTTCATTTCTCTTGGGTATATATTTAGGAGTGGAATTGCTGGATCATATGCTAACTCCATGTTTAACTTTTTGAACAGCTGCTACTTTTCCAAAGTAGCTGCACCATTTTACATTCCCACCAGCAATGTATGAGGACTTCAGTTTCTCCATACCCTCCTCAACATTGTTATTGTCCATCTTTTATTATTATTATTATGAGCATCTTAGTGAGTGTGAAGTAATTCCTGAGACTTTTATGTTTTCCTCTTTAACACTGGGTTCCATTTGGAGGTGGGTTACAGGCTTTCATATGGTCACAGGATGCTCATACCTTATGATAAAAAAATAGCATACTGGCGAGGTATTTTGCAGTTCAAAAGAAAGTTAATTTGGTAACTGGTTTACTTTAGTCTATTTCCTCTTTGAAAATTTGAATAATATTTTAGAGAGGCTACAACTTCCCCTAGAAACAAGCTCTCCACTGATCCCATAAATCCCATAACAAGGGCAGAATCAACAGAGACAGGTTTACCTGGGTGTGCTGGGGAGTCAGGAATGGGTGAAGGCATGCACTGGCAGGACAAGAAGGGTCCCCACCAAGACTGGGAAACCACAAAAACAAGGATAGTATGTCCCCCACCTGCCTTCTCTGCTTCCTGCTGCCCCTTATTATTTATCTTAGAAGCATCCTGGCTTTCTCTGGCCCCATGCATGCCAGAATAGGACAACCCAGAGCTCCCACGATAATCTGTTACATTCCCACCCACTTGGAGAATCGGTCAGCCACCTGCTTATGGCTTTTAATATGTTTTTTCAAACTACACAAATACTCCCAGAGAAGGCCTCCTGCCTCCCAAAAGAACAATGCTGGAACATGCTAACTGAGTAAACTTTCTCCTAGCTCGAGCATCCTGAAATGCTACGCTGCTGTCAGTTTTTCTAGAACAGTCCTTTTAAAATAACTTACAGAAAGTTGGACAAAGGGATTAATCTCTCAGCTTTACAGTCAACCCTTATCTTTTTGTAGGGGTCCAACCCAATTGGATAGCTGGCTTAAACCCCGCCCATTGAGAACTGAACGGCACCTCATGTTTCTGACATTAAACTCAGCCTCAAGAGTGAGGGATGCTCACCACTGAGGCATCCAAGACAACAGGTTCAGTAGAGATTATCCGAAGGGAAGTTTCCACAGTGATTTGGATGATGGCAATGTCATGAAAAGTGCTAAGAGCCTCTCTTTGACTTTGAAGGGAACTATACTCTTTTCATGAAATGTACCATTTATCAGTAAATGTGTCTGATAACATTAGAGTTAGAGCCCCTACTATTTCCTGAAGTGAAAGTTACTTCCAAGTAATATACAGCCAATGCAAAGAATCCTATCCAAGGTTTGTGGGCAGAAAGGCTGGAATCTGGGGAGGCTTTATTGTGCCATAACACTCCTCTGTCTTCTCTAGGCCACAGATATGGATGACTCAAATATAAAAGACTTTTATTGGGAGAATTACACCTGGGATGACTTCAATTACAGTTACAACACTGACATGCCCTTTTCGCCAGACTCTGCCCCATGCTGGCCAGAATCTCTGGATGTCAACAAGTACGCTGTGATCATCATCTATGTCCTGGTCTTCCTGCTGAGCCTGCTGGGAAACTCCCTAGTGATGCTGGTCGTCTTATACAGCCGGGTCAGCCGCTCCGTCACTGATGTCTACCTGCTCAACCTGGCCATGGCCGACCTGCTCTTCGCCATGACCTTGCCTATCTGGGCTGTCTCCAAGGCAAAGGGCTGGATCTATAGCACAATCCTATGCAAGATGGTCTCACTCCTGAAGGAAGTCAACTTCTACAGTGGTATTCTACTACTGGCCTGCATCAGCGTGGACCGTTACTTGGCCATTGTTCATGCCACACGCACACTGACTCAGAAGCGACACTGGGTCAAGTTCATATGCTTAGNTCAGCGTGGACCGTTACCTGGCCATTGTTCATGCCACACGCACACTAACTCAGAAGCGACACTGGGTCAAGTTCATATGCTTAGGCATTTGGGTCCTATCCCTGATCCTCTCCTTGCCCATCTTTATCTTCCGTGAGGCCTNGACTCAGAAGCGACACTGGGTCAAGTTCATATGCTTAGGCATATGGGCCTTATCCCTGATCCTGTCCCTGCCCATCTTTGTATTCCGTAGGGCCATCCACCCACCTAATTCTGGCCCAGTCTGCTATGAGGACCTGGGTGCCAATACAACTAAATGGCGTATGGTGATGCGGGTCCTGCCCCAGACCTTTGGCTTCCTCCTGCCACTGCTGGTCATGCTGTTCTGCTATGGATTCACCCTGCACACGCTGTTTCAGGCCCACATGGGGCAGAAGCACCGGGCCATGCGGGTCATCTTTGCTGTCGTGCTTGTCTTCCTGCTCTGCTGGCTGCCCTACAACCTGGTCCTGGTGGCAGACACCCTCATGAGGATAGGGGTGATCAAAGAGACCTGTGGACGCCGAAATGACATTGGCCGGGCCCTGGATGCCACCGAGATTCTAGGCTTCTTCCACAGCTGTCTCAATCCCCTCATCTATGCCTTCATTGGCCAAAAGTTTCGCCATGGACTCCTCAAGATCATGGCCATCCATGGCCTGATCAGCAAGGAGTTCTTGGCCAAGGAAGCCAGGCCTTCCTTTGTTGGCTCTTCTTCAGGGAACACTTCTACTACCCTCTAGGACCCTCACCCCTGTTGCAGCCCCACAGGGTTCCTCCCCTCCCATCAGCACCCAAGCCTTATGTCCACTGGCTATTCACAGTCTCTGTGTTAAGACAGCCCCTCATTGTGGTCACAGGAAGTTGCTGAAGCCAGGACCTTACCAGGCCCCATTGTATGTCTTAGAAAGCCTGCCCTGGTGCCCCACCCTTTACTGTAATTACTATGTCAACTGCTAGAGCTCTGGCCATCCTGCCACTGAGCCCATAGCACTCTGTCCTCTGAGACATTTCAAAGACATTCCAGTTCTGCTAAGAAGAATTACAGGCAAGGATGTGCTGGTAAGCCAGTCTCCTACAGGAAAAAGTCCTGATTTGTAAGGTTCACCATGTTCCATGTTATAAATACTCCCACCATAGCAATTTAAAGAGTAGTGGTGTTTAGCAACCAGCTCACAAAATTCTAGGAAATGTGATAATCTGTTTTCACAAGCAGATACAAACTAGCCTCAGCAAAACATTGCTTAAGAGGAGCCTGCTGGGGCCAGAGGACTCCTGGGAAATAGTCCTGATTTAAAAATAGAGACATACGCACACTCACACATCCTTGGGTCTTGCCTTTGAGTATAGTTATAGGATATGATATGTGGCTCTCAGGCAGCAATTTTGTGACAATGAGGCAAAACGCTGAACACCCTTAAGCTGATGGAACCAAAGGATAAAAAGAGATAAAGGATAAAAGAAGGAGCCCAGAAATAAACTTAAGCAAGCACAAGAGTAAAACCGGTCCCTTACCTTACACCATATACAAAAATTAATTCAAAATAGATTCAAGAACCAAACATAAGAACTAAAACTATAAAATTCTCATAAGAAAACAGGATAAAGGCCATATAAAGAATTGCTACAACTTGAGAGAGAAAAAAAAAGCATTATTCGAAAATGGGTAAAGGATTTAAAGAATAGACAGTTCTCCAAAAAACACATAGAAATAGCTATGGACATGTATATACTAATAATTATGGAAATGCATATCAAAACCACAATGAGGTACCACTTCACATAGATGAGGATCACCATTATTAAAACAAACAAACAAAATAACAAGTGTTTGCGAGGATATGGAGACACTGGAACGCTTGTGCAATGCTGGGGAGAATGTAAGATGTACTGCCACTTACAGCATGATGGTTCCTTCAAAAATTAAACATAGAATGACTGTGTGATCCAGCAGTTCCGTTTCTGAGTGATAGCAAAAGAACCAAAAGCAAAGACTCAAATTGATATTTGTACATTAATGTTCATAGCAATAGCCAAAGATGGAGACAACCCAAACGTCCATCAGCGGATGACTGGATAAACAAAATGCGGTAGATGCATCCAATGGAATATCACTCAGTCTTAAAGAGGAATGAAATTCTGATATATGCTACAATATGAATAAACCTTGAAAACATTACGCTAAGTGAAATAAGCCAGAAACAGATACTGTATGATTCCACTTATAGGAGGTACCTAGAATAGTTAAATTGATAGAGACAGAAAGTAAAATAGTGGGTACCAGGAGATTGGAGGAGTGAGAAATGGGGAGTTATTGTTCAAAGGATACAGGATTCGGTCTGGGATGATGAAAGGTTCCAAAGGTGGATGGATGGTGGCGATAGTTGCACAACAATGTGAGTGTACTTAATGTTATTGAATTTTACACTTAACATGTTAAAATGGTTGGCCGGGAGTGGCTCAGCGGTTGAGTGTCGACCTAGGATCCAGGCGATCGGGGTTCGATTCCCAGTCAGGGCACATGCCCGGGTTGTGGGCTCGATCAATGGCTCTCTCATCATTGATGTTTCTATCTCTCTCTCTCCCTCTCCTTTCCTCTCTCTGCTCTCTGAAATCAATAAAGATATATTTTTAAAAATAATAAATAAATAAATAAATAAATAAATATAAAATAAAAATTAAAAATCCTTAAAAAAAAATCTTAAAAAAAAAATGTTAAAATGGTAACTTTTGTTATGTATATTTTACCATGATTAAAAAAAAAAACTACTTACAAAAAAGCAAACCTGGAACCAACTACCTATAACTTCCTGTTAAGTGAGATGATTAAATATCTTTTTTGTACAAACCACTTTTAATTGGGTATTTCATTACTTGCAACAAAAGGCATCTAAACTGCTACAGAGAGGCTGGGCAAAGGTGAGCAGAGGTCCCTATCGGGGGTCTTTCCAATAAATAAATCCCTTGGCTGTCTATTGGGTGTATAGAGAGGATTGAAATAGAGATGGAGGCTAGCCTTTCTACCTGCTTCCTCCCCAGCCCAAGCCTTCTGCTGCTGAATGGTATTATGGAAGGACATGTGTCCCAGGATCATCTGGTGCTTCTCCTGTCCTTGGGTGAAACAGTAGTCAAGAGCATCAAGAGTGGGACTTAGAAGGGTCTAGTAAGTCCACCCAATCAGCGGAATTGGATAGCAGGAAGCCAGAGCACTTCCTTGAGCTCAACCAACAACTCCCACTTTGAGTTTCACTTCATTCTCTCCTGTGTAGCACCCAACACACAACACACACACACACACACACACACACACCATTCAGGGTTTGACAAAAGAGAACCCCAGAATGGAAAAATAATTCAGAATATATCACCCTGACAAACACAGAACTTGTCTCATTCCTAACAGTATGTATTGAGTGCCTGCTGTCCCAGGGTTTTGGGATAGAGCAGCAGTTAAACCAAAGTCTCACTTAGGCAGAGCTCCTGGTCACAGGCTGGTCTCTGAAGGGCCTCTGGCTCTAAGCAGCCTGCTAAAGTAGTAAGAAAGCAAGAGGACCTAAACTTCACAGTCACCAAACTTTTACCAGGTTCTACTCCCCTTCATGGTACCAACTATCTGACCACTATGTCAAGGAGATAGCAGCTATGGCTATGAAAAGAGGCCTCTCTGGGCAGGCAGAGCAAATCTCTGGAGCACACAGCGGGCAGGTAACTGCCACTCCTAACTCATCAAAGTGCTTTTCCTTTTGCATTCAGTGAACAGGATGAATTCATCTACAATAATCCCTCGTTCCTAGCTCATTCTATGCCAGGCACTGTGCTAAGCTCAGGATCAGTTGTGACTGCGCTGCTCTGGCTGGGCCTTCAGAACAGCTTCTGATTCAGTGGGAGGGAAAGGCAGGGAGCATGTATTTACCAAACACCTAAGTTGCCAGAGGGGCCAGTGGTGTTCTGACTGGGCAAGGCAGACGGACCAGACAGCTCCCTGAGATGACTGTCAGTGGGAGGAGGCCAAGCTGAGTTTCACTCTGCTTCTAGGACTCTCCTCTTTCCTCCTCCAAAAAGAGTAGAGGAAACCTGCTTCAAGGCAAATACAAGGATAAAATAAGCCCAGAAACAGTGAGGCAGAGACAGAGTTGCTCTTAGGTGAGCTCTGTTAATATTTACCTCTGTCTCTCTGCCTCTCTCTCTCTCTCTCTCTCTCTCTCTCACAGTCTTGGCACAAATAATCTACCAACGAAGCCAGCACTAGGACAGGGCAAATCCAAAGCCTGCCTTTGAGTCATTGATTTCTTCCCTCCAATGTTGCCAGGCCTGAGTCCCTGTGTCAGGGGCCAGCACCCTTCTGCCTAGAGCTGCCTGCTCAGTCTGAGTGGGCCCCTAGTGCTTCCAGAAACATGTTTCTCTACTTACACTAGATCATCTGTCTTTTTTCTCTGTCCTCTGAGTTTATGACATCTTTCTCCACCAAAATCCCTCCCCAGTCTCTACAGGATGGGTTCCCTTTGTTCATGAAATCAGAACACCCTCCAGTCTCTATTGGGTGATATGAAGAAGCACCCCAGTTTGCATGTCACATTGAACTCATTTCATGGAGACCCATGTGGAGAACCACATCACATGCAATAGCAGAGCCAGAGAGACCTAGAGATCCCCTGGGTCACCCTTTTCAATACACAAATGAGCAAACTGCGGCTATAGCAAAGTGACTTGACAAAAATCTCATGTCTGGATAGTGGCAGAGCTGTAATAAAAATTCCGCATTCAATTCATTTTCCATATTTTTTGCTTTTCTAATGGTGACATCTCAGGCACCTGACAAATATATGGGAAAACATATACTATATAAACTCCTCAGAGCATTCCACTCACACAAATAGGCCCAGCCTACTTCTCCAATGCCAACACTCCTCTGTGCCAGGGGCAGGGGTTGCTGCGGCCTCAATCATTTGATAGAAGTAAGGGCCAGCTGAGGTTAGGGGCACAGACGTGGTGTAGGCTCCGATGGATCACTCTATTCCCTACTGGCAGGCAGGGCAGTTAAAGGGACATTAGGAGCCCAACCCAAAGTTCAAAGACAGGTAAAACTAGCCCTGGCCAGTGTGGCTCAGTGGGTTGGAGCGTCGTCTTATACACCAAAAGGTGACTGGTTCAGTTCCTGGTCAGGGCATATACCCAGGTTGCAAGTTTGATCCCCAGCCGGGGCGCCTGTGGAGGCCAGCGATCCGTGTTTCTCTCACATCAATGTTTCTCTTTCTAACTTCCCCCTCCCTCTCCCTTCCACTCTCTCTAAAAAAAATTTAATAAAAATTTTTAAAAAGAAGAAGTGGAGGTGGGAAGGGGATGTGGGAAGGAGCAGAGATCACTGCCCCAACTCAAGGCCCAACCCCCAGCAGCTTCACAGACAGGCAAAAGGCACCTTCCCGGAGAAGACAGACACACCACTGATTTCCCAACAGAGCCTTGCAAAGTCTGGTGTCAGACAGGTTCCCCTAGCCATAAACAACAGGGCAAGCTTCCTATCAAAGCTGGCTCTGCTCCAAGCCGGCCCAGAGGTCGGGTCAAACTCCTGATTCCCACAAGGTAGTCTATCCCATGTTTTTTCTGTATTTCACTAAAGTAATAATACCAACTAGCATTTCTAGAGGACTTTCTTGGATGTCCATCATTATGCTAAGGGATTTAATACACTAGACTGTACAGCTGGCTTTGGCACTTTGGACTCCTCTGCTGCCCTCTGCCTAATACCACCTTGCCCAAGGGTCCAACTCAGTTGCCAAAAATGCATGAGCATGACTCCCAGGATGCTTCTGAAAGGCTCAAGGGTCTCCATGTTATAGTAGCTCC